TGATGCCGCAAGCGAAACCATTTTCGTGAACGTACAAACCTTCCTCCGACGGATCTTCTTCTTGAAGTCTCTCCCTTATTTTAACATTAAAAAGTCCCAAAACATAAATGTCCCTCAACACATCATTGAATTCGTTGCCGAATTTGCAGGGTGCTGCTAACGAACGAATTCGGGCTGAAAACTCAGTCGCTGTCTCATCATCTTTTTGTTTGGCTGAATAAAATTCTTTCCGAGCCGCAAAAACTGATTTGATGGGCGCAAAATGATTCGTTAATAAGGTGGTGAGTTCCTTGAACGTTTTAGTCGCCGGTTCAGCCGGAATGCACAGCGATTGTAATAACCCCATTACCTCATCACTTAATGAGGCTAATAAATAGCTCTTTTTAATTTCATCATCGGTAGTTGATGTATATTTGAACGTACTATTCATCCGTTCCAAGAAACACTTCCAATTTTGTTGGTTATCAAACAACACGGGTGCCGGTAATGTTCCCATTTTTAATCCTCGTCGCCAGTTGTTATACCTTGCTGATTTGACTAATGTGAGTCAATCAATAAATACACTTAAAAAGCTTGAAAGATTAAATAAAACAAAGTTTAAGTCCACGTGTCTTCGAACATCACACACTTTTATTATAACACAAGTAAACATTGAATACACAAAAAACAGGTAAGGTTTTTCTATGTTTACAAAAATCTTAGACATAAAGAACTTAGAGCTAATATTTTTACTACGTCATAACAGTTAGGTTCTTGGGAAAAACATTATTAAAGTATTGTGCTTTGGCGCGACGTAGGGTCATTTGTGTGAGATTTCGTAGGGATTTAAATATGGAATAATGCTGAGGTAGTCTAGTACGTCTGTATCATCTTCTAGCAGTTTCTCTTCTCCTCATTAGTTCTCTGATTTCTGTTTTGATCCAAGGAGCGGGAGGACGTCTAAAGACACGTGTATTTAGAGATGCGTGACGATTGAGGAAATCGATGGAGGGGAGAGAATAGATGGGTTCTAAGCAAGTGGAAAGGGAATCTAGGAAGAGGCTGATGTTTTCAGTGGTTAAGGAATCTAGATCTCTCCAGGAAATTTGTTTTGGTTTAGATGAAGGAGTAGAGAAGTTGTATGTTATTTCAATAAGATCGTGGGATGAAAGGAAGGGAACTGAAATTTGCGTAGAGGATAACAGGTTATGGGGGAAATCAAAAATAAATAAATCTAGCCAAGTATCAGTGGATTGAGTGTGATGGGTGGGTTAAAAGGGTACAATAAATAGATCTAAGGAAAAAACTAGGTCGGTAAGATATGTTCTGTCCGGAGTATTTGAAAGGAGGTTGGTGTTGAGATCACCAGCAATAATAATATTTTTAGATTATTAGCACTAATCATACCAAGACTTAATATATACCTATTTCTACCATAGCGGGTCAAATGACCCGACTTTATGCTTCATGCTTGAATGTATGAAATATGGATGTTAGGAAGGAAATAAAAATATAAATTAAATTTATTATGATTAAACAAAATAGTATGTTGAGCATTTCTATTACAAAAGCAAAAAATAAAAACTTTTAATTCATAGTTCATCGCAGTGGTGCTCTTCCAGGTGTGCCACCTACTTGCATTTGTTGCCAAACAGATCCATCATTCGCAACATTTTCTTCATTTATTTCTACTTCACTTTCTTCCGAACTTGTGAGTAATCTTATTCTTTTTCGGCCACTACATACATTCACAATATTTTCCTCTTCATCGTCAGTATCTGTAGAATCAAACTCATTTTTATTTGCAACCGATATATCTTCATTTTCAGAAAATTCATCTTCACTAATTTCTGAAAACTCTTCGCCAATATTATTTATATCTTCTAAGAACTTGTACTGTCTTGTTTGCTTCGACATTTTTCTGGGTAAAAAATGATCTGTATTACTATAGCTATCAAAATAAAATATAAGCTAGGTACTTACCAAGACTTTCAATTTTTGCCACTTTTTCTTACACTAAAAAGCTATTTTCAATCTAAAATTTGATATTTTCTTGAAATTATTCTGAGCTATTTTCGTTGAACTACTTTACACAACAGTCTTTGGAAGAATGTGCAACTTACTGACTACAAATATGACTAGATAATCTCATAAAACAAAAAAATTCTCTCCGGGTCAAATGACCTGTTGTGGTAGATATCGGTATACTACAAGGATTACTCAGAATAAACAAAACAAAACAAAACAAAAATATTTTTATAACTGTACATTAATTACTTAGAAAAAGTCATGAAGTCAAATGTGCAAATGCAATAAAATTATACGTGCATTTTCAATGGAAAAGTTCAAAATGGGGCATTTGACCCGTTATGGTATGTTTAGTGTTAGAGGAATATATGTAAGGAGGGAGGATTCGAGAGTGGGATCGAATCGGACATGAGGAGGTCGGTAAATAACGATAAAGAGTAGAGAAAAGGTACTAAAGGAAACTTGGAGAAACAGATATTCTATGTAAGGGACGTCTGAAGGAGGAGATTTTAGAAGGATTTTGGCCGTCAAACTGTCATGTACGAACAATCCCACACCTCCACCTGTTCGTTCCGTTCGATCATGATGGAAGAGGAAATAGTTGGGTAAGGAAACGGATAGGGAGGGAATATCAGGTTTGAGCCAAATTTCAGAGAAGGCTATGATATGATCGAAGTTATGGTGAAAATAATTGAGGAATTCGTCATAATGTGCTAGAAGGGATTGGGAGTTAACGTGACAGGATATTAAGGTATTAGTCATGAAGAAGTCAGGGTAAGGACAATCTGCGGAGTATGACAAAATGGTGTTAATATTGATGGAGTAGGCACATTTTTAAACTTACATAATGAGATATAATAACAAATTATGTACATAATATTGATATAAATCTTACTTAAAATAATTTTTTAATATATTAAATAATAATTAATATAATTAAAATAATAATATATAAAAAAATACTTAATGAGGAATAGAATAAATGATTATGAACTATAGAAACAAAAAAGAACAATAACATTTTTAAAAAAGAAAATGAAAATAAAAGATATTCATAAAAAAGAGGTTGGAGGCAACAGTGAGACCTATTTCATTCCAGCAATTCAATGTCTTCCTTTTTGTTGACGATGATGACCGGGGATCCATCCAGCGAACCATACGTATCTTAGCATACCTGACGCCCTTTTCTGCCTTACCAACCAGTATAAATGTTTATTTCTGGACTCATTTCTTCGCCCAGATAAATCCTCTCGTCGCTGTTCCGGCCCAGATGCCGTGTGGAAAAGCCCCTCTTGACCTTGCGCAAGCGGATGACTTGACGTCACGCACCGTCCGGCGGACGAACCGCACTACGATTGGCGGTGGCCTAGGGTCCTCTCTTCTGGTCCTTTTCCTCTCTACAAAATCCAGGTCTTCAACACCCAGCTTTATGCCCAGAGCTACATCGATAGAGCACACCTAGCCCTCGGTAGATTCTCCAGCATCGGGTGTGATACCCCATATTTCCAGGGATTTGGATAGCTCAGCTTGTTCAGCTTGGTTAAGTCTCACCTCCAGGGTACTAATTTGAGATTTTAACTGTTTATTCTCACTGGGTAAATTTTCTATTGTTTTCGCTTGCTTCAATGCCATCTCTTCTATTTTTTTAATTCTCTCATTGTTTTTAAAAGCTAGATCTCTTTGCTTTCCGAGCGAGACTTTAACTTCCTTTATATCCCCGGCGATCTTTTTAACCTCAGCCAAAATAGAGGTATTGCTCTCTTCTGACACATCCACGGTTGATGTGCCCTCTTTACTTTGAGGTTTTTTACATGATGTACAAAACCAATTTTTTTTTTTTTAGTTGCTGCGATATGTCGGCTTCGGAGACGTTAATACATTTTCTATGATATATTAATTTGTACGTAGTGCAAACAAATGTATTTTTATCCTCTCTGGCAATGGTATTATTGTATTTAGGACATAGAGTCATCGTGAGCAACTGATTTACTAAACAGTAATAGAGTAGATACCGGTAGAGGTGGTGGGGAGAGGTAGCCGTAGTGGGGTTAAGCGCCTTATCTTACGCTCGGCTATATCACAACAATTTTAATTTGTTTTCTTACCTTACTATTTATGGTACACCTAATTTGTTTACTAGGTATTGGTGATTTAATTCAATAGTTAATATTAATCGCCAACGCAATTAAGATTAAGAGCACTTTAAATATTTTAGTGACGGTGAAATGAACTGCAATAGCACCACTTAAAATTTTACACGATTAAAAAGAACACCGATGCTATCTGTTTGAAGGCTAGAGCCAGACTGGTATGATGGCCAGGCGATGAATAGTATCTACAAGGTCCAGGTGGTGGTTTTTTAATGGTGTAGGTTGATTTGTGCTAATTTTTATGTCTTGTTGTGCCTCAACATTTGTTTTAATGAATCGTAGTCCGTGATTAAACTTATTTCTGATTCTATTGGGCTTGTTATCTTAGATAATAGTTATTGATTTTCGAATAAAATATTAGTAAGCCTTTATTACCTTTTTTTAATACATAGAATATAGGTGTGTTAGTGTTATTAGACTATGCAAACGTACGTTTTGTTAGTCATAGTCAGTATTGTTGATAATTCTGTCAATGGCCGCCTTAAAAGAAGGACAGTTTTTGGACATGGACGAATGTTTGGCATCTACTTGTCTCTTATTGTTCACTCTACTATTATAACTTACGTAATTGATGCATTTGTGGAGCTCAGATTGGCACTCCCTGAGGCTGTGGGACCCCGCGCAGAGCGGGCAGGTGGGCTTGACGGCTCTGCAGAACTTCTTGGTGTGCCCCAGCTTGGAGCTGACGAAGCACCTCGGGGTCGAGCGGTAGTCCTCCACGGCACAGGTCACCAGGTCCACGAAGGCTCTCCCGGCCAGCATCTTCCTCGCCTTGGAGGTTATTTCCACAACTGCGTGCCTCCAAGTTTTAATCGGTGGTCCTCCGTCTCTTTTTTTTTATGCTTATTTGTTAATATGGTTTTCAGCTTTGTCTTGCTCTTGTAGTCGGTTTTGTTCTGTTATGACTGGAACCATTTCGTCTTTCTTAATGTCTTCTGGAATGTTTTTTATAATTTCTATCGGCTGATGTTTCTTTATAGATCTCACCCATAAGCTTGTCTCATGCTTATTACTGATTTCGTCCGTAATCAGTGTGAGAACAGCCTTGGATTCTGGGCCTACAATCAACCCTAAATTATTGGTCCCTCTTAATGTCTTAATTCTTACTTTCATTTTCCTGCGGTTAAAAACATTTTTGAAAAGCGTCTTCGTATCTTCTTCAGTTTCTGTGTTGACTTTTTCTATAATTGCCTTGTGTTCTTTTAAATGGCATTCTTTTGTTAGTAGTAACTGCTGCATATGGTGCGGGGTGTTGAGGTTAGATTGAGTAAGCCATTAATTTATTTTTCCAGTCTCTCGTTATCTCTGCGGAGGTGTCCAAATATTATCTTCAAACTATCTGTTCTTCGAAAGATACTTACTTTGACTGTATCTTTTGTCTTCAGCTTGGAAAAATCGCTAAAAAAGGTGATTATATCCAGAAAATCTTTCTCGTCTGAAGTAATCACAGATATTTATTTTTTATCTAGCTATATCTTGATTTTATCCTGGCATAGATCATATAATAGAATAATATGGCATAACACAAAAGGTTCACTTCACGTTACACTAAGATACCTAAATAATATTGGCAGGTCAAAATTGACACTTCTAAGAAAGCCGATACTTCAAAGACTAAAATGTTGTTACCGCGATGTTTACTATACTTAAAAACTTAGCCCGAACTCCTAATTTTGGGATTATATTAAATAATTCTGTGTGTATCAACTTCTTTAATCTATATGACTTAAGGAATTCAGTATCAATATTTCTTATGAATTTTCCGACAATCGGCCCTTGAGGACGGGATGGCCGAGCACCTTGGGATGTGGATCCCAGAGTGCTTGGTTCTGAACTTTGTGGGCTGGACTCCCACCTGGATCGGTTAATTTTCATCTCTCTGTTGTCCTGGAGATGGATCTTCACATTCCAACCCTGGTAAGTACGCAGAGGCAACCTCAAGATAGTCGTCAGGGGTTTGCAAAAAGGACCAACTTGCCGGACCAGTACCAGTACAATCGGCTCTTTACTTAAATTTGCTTTTATTATATAAAAACAGTTAATTTATTTTTCCATCCTGCAGGAAACCAATAGTAGTGCTGATACTTTTGATTGTAGATAAAATATCTTCTCCTTCTGTTGATGGAATATTTATTAATTTTATGCCGTTATTTTGATGTTATTGATCAGTTGCAGCAAAATACTGGCTTAAAGAAGCAACTTTTTTTCTTTTAGTTTCAAATTTTCTTTCTACATATTTAAAATTTCTGAAAATTGCTTTTATTAAAATTGTCAGTAATTATTGGTGGGGAGTTAATTGATTTAGCAAGTGATCAACTCGTATAGCAATAAAATATTTATGAATGAGGAAGCTATTCATTTTAGTATAATTCTTGTGTCTTAATGACTGAACTGAGTCAATTTATTGTTTAAGAAATGTGTGTCTTGTTTTCTTTTTCATTATTTTCTGTATTAAAAATAGAATATTTTTTACTCTTGAAACTACAATAAGTTTTGTAGAATTATATATATATATGATATATATATATATCATAAAAGGTAGTTAACATATACATTTAAGTAGTATTTACATATCAGTTTTTATTTATATAAACATACAACAAACAAAAAATTAAGTGGTGAGTTAACTGATGAAAATTAATAAAAAAAATATTCTTGCAACAAGAGATGAACTTTTTTTAATAACTATAAACTCAAGAATTATGTTTTATAAAAATATTTTATCTAATAATTTTCAAAATGTAACAATCAGTATTAATGGGACTAATATAAAGTTTTTTTTTTATTAATTTAGCAAATAGCAAAAAGGGATAACTCCAAATATAATTTTTTTTTGCCATCAACTAATAAATTGTTGACTTACCAATCTGTCTTGTGTCTTTGTTATTTGTTATATGAATTGACATATTAGTAAATATTTATCTTAGGTACATGATAAACTTTTAAAAATTAATGTATAAAAAAAAAAAGAGTTATCCTTTTTTGTTAGCAGATAGGGAGTGGGTAGCTCGGTGGGTGAGCACTAACTTCCAGAACTCAAGGCCCCAGGACTAGTAATTTTTCATGAGCTCTGTATCGAGCCTGGAATCAGGAGACCCTCCCTAGGCTCACCCAGCCTGTATAAAGTGGGTACTCTTAATTAAATAATTAATTAAGGGATAAAACCTAGTGGTTGAGCATGATCTCGGCTCAGTTATCTCCCAGCACAGCCATAGCCTTGTAACAGTAATTCCTCACATTGTACTGAACCTAATACCCTTCATGGGTTGTAGTGGTACAATTTTTTTTATTTTTTGTTAGATGGTGCTTTATTTGATAATATTAGTTTTTTTTTATAATAATGTTATTGTGATAGTAATAAATATCTTAAATGGAATTATAGAGCCTGTTAGTCAGTAATTTGATTACTCCTTATTATCCAGCTATTACGAATTATTGGTTTAAGTAAATTATAGTTGTTATTTTTACTGTGGAAATCGAACTTCATCAATTTAAGGTTGTTGTATTTTCTTGATGAAATGATGAAATCCATTTATTTGTTTTTAAATACATGCTTCCTCAATTTACATTAATAAAATAAAATCAGACAACAATTTTGGATTTTATTTAAATCTTGAAATACTTATTTTTATATACAATATGTAAATGTATTCCTTTCAAAAGGCTGAATATCTGTTAGTATGTATATCATTAAGCTTGAATTAATGTGTCCATCCATTCAGCTTGCATTCCGAATGAAAAAAAATTGCCAAGTACTGAACTTTTCTGTGAAAACAACTATCCATATTTATTCTTTAGAATAATTCCTATCTTCAGGGAAGATATGACTATTTCATCACTCCTAAAAATTATGTGTCTATAATTTTAATTATTATAATGTATCTTAGGAGAAAAAAAAAAAAAAAAAAAAAGAATATTCATATTAGTTCTTTATTTACTAAAGAACAGACAATAACATTGTTAATTTAAAAAATATAAATATTATTAATATTAAATAATCATTTTAATAATATACAGCAAGCATCCTGAGTCCTATTCCCACCAGATACAATGTTTATAAGCTTACTAAATGTTTCTATTTTTAATTTTGTACCATGTAAACTTTTTTGCTTGTTATAAAATAACTGTCTAATCTATATAAGATTATAAATAATTAGTAGTATAAGTTGAAACAGTAGATGAATATTTGTTTTTATTCTATAATAACTGTAGCGTATGCTACCACAATATTAGCTTTACATTGTAAAAATAAATGGTGACTGCCACTCAATTGACAATAAATAAATTTTATTTTACATTTGTTTATTCGATATTTGAATAATTTTTTGAATAGTATATTTACAATACTGCTTAATTTCTATCAAATTACTGTTAAGAAATATATATATATATATATATATATAGCTGAAAAAGCAACTGGTAATAAACTCAACCTACCATATTCAGATTTTTCAGCTAATTGTTCGAAATCTTATAATTGTGTTACAGGAGGCCACAACATTGAAAAAGATAACTAAAATTAAATTAAAAATGAGACAAAAGATATTTTATTAATTTTGATTAGATATTTTTATTTATTCATTGAAAAATAAATAAATCCTTCGTATTTTATTTTTTATTCGAAAGAAAAATCAAAAACACTTAAAAAAACTGAAACACAGTGGCCTAATCTTAAAATGTAAGTCGTTTTCAAAAACTACAACTCCGGCAACATAAAAGTAGGCCTTTAAATTGTATAAATTCGAAAAACTTGAATAAGTCGAAACGCAGTGGCGTAATCTTAAAATAGGGGTCATTTTCAAAATCTACGACTCCGGAAACATAAGAATACACCCTTTTATGAAAAAAATTTGAAACACTTAAAGAAATCGAAACGCGGTAACCTACTCTTAAAATGGAGGCCATTTTCAAAATCTATGGCTCCGGAAACATAAAAGTAGACATTTATATTGGAGAAATTCGAAAAACTTAAATAAGTCAAAACGCAGTGGCATAATCATAAAATGGAGGTTATTTTAAAAACTAGGTATAGGACAGCATAATACTAGTCACTAATAAATCCGAATAGGTACAATAAATCGATATCCATAAGTGTAAATTCTTCTTAGGAGAGCATAATAAGAGACCTTCATATTGGCGGGGGAGGGGATGGCCATTATTTAAAAAAAATAAAAAATTTACAAAAAATTAAAACATTAATTTAAAATAAAAACGGTTGAATTTGAATTGGAAAAGATTTAATTTGAATTGGAAAAGGTTTAATTTGAAATGGAAATGGTTGAATTTACTTGGAAAAAGTTTAATTTTATTTGGAAAAGGTTGAATTTGACTTGGAAAAAGTTGAATTTGACTTGGAAAAAATTGAATATGACATAGAAATATTACACTGAAAAAATTTAAAATGTTGAAATAAATGGATATGCAACCGCGTTATCATAATTTTTTTTGTATTTTTCAAAAGCTATGCCTTCGATAATATAGTAAGTGGTCTTCATTTCGAAAAAAATCAAAAATTCAAAAGTTGAATTTGACTTGGAAAAGGTTGAATTTGAAATGGAAAAGGTTTAATTTGATTTGGAAACGGTTGAATTTGATTTGGAAAAGGTTGAAATTGACTTGGAAATGCTATATTAATCAATATAGTAGTAAATCTGTAAACAAACAATTACAATACATTTAAGTTATATTTTTTATCTTTATATACAGAGGGCTTCTTTTAAAATGCAATAAAATTGATCGTAGATGTATGCTTATCTTTTATGAATTGGCACTTTCATTCTTTTCCATATTCTGGTATGACTCAGAGGATGAATAGTCTGTATCACTTTGAGTTGCCTCCATGCTTGTACTCTGCCATTTTGTTTCCTGTAAAATAGCTGTAAACGAAATGACTGCAAATATGGTTAATTACACAAGCTGTGACAATAATAATTATATGTCTTCAAGTTTTAAAAATTTACATTGATCGTTTTGAGATATAAACTTTTATAGAGCAACCCATACAGGGTGCTCTAGGCAAGAGAACAAAAAAAGATAATTTACACTGAATTTCTTAGCAAAAGGTCCCTATAAAGGCATGGTCCTTAATAAAAATAACTTTTTATAACTTCTCTAACTTTTCCATTTTAAAGTATAAAATCAATTTTGATGTTACTCCTTATCACAAGTGAGCTCTCAAACAATCTGAATAGTCAATAATTGAATGAAGTAAATGGATCTATGATAGCAGGTTACCTGAGACTTACAATTTTTAAAAATCACATGATTTTTTTTTTCGTAAAGATACATAAATATTACAAAAACTTTTCAAAATGGCTTTTATTTACCTCAAGGAAGAAGTGAGAGAGCTTTTGTTGACTCCCAATTGGTGCCCTCAATTCCTCAACCTTTCTCTTAATATTATGGAATACGGCAATGATTCTCTCCGGTATCCAATGACTACACTGCTGACTATTTCCCACATGTAAGAGTTGAGTAAGATAAAGGCTAGGCCACAAGAATTCCTCGTCCTCTCCACTGCCCTGAATAGTTTTGGTTCATCCAATTGCTTACATCACTCAGGTGGGTACATGGGGCGGGGTGGCCGAGCGGGCTAACACTTGTCCACAGCACTGCCATTGCCCAGATAAACAGATACTAATATGATAAAATAATTACAATTTCGTGTCCTGGTGACAGAGGGGCTTTTAACTTAGCAATAATCCCGGCCCTCTCCCCTGGTCCAGGAAACCCCCATACAGCCTAAAAGGAGATGGGGGTGGACAAAAAAAAGTAGTGAGTTTGTTGGATAGGTGGCCAATCAGGCTAACACTTGTGCAAAACAACCTGATGAATAGAGGTTTAGATGATAAATAATGAAAGTTCCCTTGCTGGGAGAGGGGAAAGGAGGAGGGGATTGTAACTATGGCATTAATCCCAGCCCTCTCCCCTGGCCGGGAAAAATCCCTGTATAGCCTAAAAGGCGAGGACGGAGTGGACAAAAAAAAAAAAAGAAGTAGTAAGTTGGATAGGACTTGTGGAAAACACAAATTGTCTGTTAACCTGATAAACCAAAGATTATGAGTTCAAATCCTGGTGTAGGGGGGAGGGAAGGTGATACTTTTAACTGTGGCATTAATCCCCAACCTTTCCCCTGATCCGAGAAAAATCCTGCATAGCCAAAAAAGTGAGCAAGGGTAGAAAAATAGAAACAAAAAAGTAGTGAGTTGGTAGTGTAGTGTTGGTAAAGTAGTGAGTTATACCTGTCCTATAAAACTACATGCTATTTCTTAATTCAAGAGGTGATTTCTGTAGTAGGCAAAATATTCCAGTATTTAAAAATTCCAAACACGTTATACCATAAGCGATTTAGAGAAAAACATGGTCCAACAATATGGTCTTCAACTACTCCAGCCCATTTGTGAGTGCAATGGGAATTCAATGCTCCGGTCTTTACAGAAGTTACCTCATCTGTCCATTAAATTGAATGTGGAACCTATTGGAAAATTCCACTCTGGCAAAAATGTCAGGGTGGATCAACTCTAGGAAAGGTGTGTCATAGAATGGATAGATATTATTCTTTTTCGGTTATCTCTCGATGGTGGTACCACCAACTGCCTAATTTATTGCAAGCTCCCTGTATGCTAGTATGAGGATGCCTTTGATCTGTGAAAATCTCACAGACTAACAACACCTAACTGTATCTCCTGGTGTTCAGTGTTAGATTGAATATTTGCATAAAAATGTCAACAACATTTATTTATTTAACAATACCCATAAAATTCTTAAAGGAATCCTTTCAGAAAAAAAAATATTTTGAAAAGAACAATCGAATATGTTTCCCTTACACATTTGATTAATAATTCCTCCACATCCATTGCAAATTTTACACTGAACCAAAACAAAATAATTTGAGAGGTTGTGCAGTGAAAACAAGCTGAAAAAAGGATGACACTGAGAAACAAAGCCACACAGTTGAGAGTAGCTGTGGTGGGAAAAACTGTGCATACCTCCAAAAGCAAACCTTGGTTGATCTAAAGCTGAGCTGAGCTGACTCTTGCTACACCCCTCAGCTCAGCTCTGCATCTGGTGACCTGCCTGTCATTAAGAACCTCTGATTTGGTGCTGGAAGCTTACTCAGCTATGCTCAGCTGCACTTTCGGTGGCTGGTCTTGCAATTTATTGCAAAGCTCAAAAAAGGTTTTCTGAAAGATGTGAGACAATCTTACTTTTATTTTTCTCTCTTGTTCTCTCTTCAGCAATTTAAATAGGAATCAAAACCTTATGAGACTCATAGTAAACCGGAATATTTTAATTCCAAATTCATCGTTATACCTTAAATACCATAACTGTTTAATTTCCAATATATGAACTTTTATTTCAGATTTGTTTGTGTTTTACCAATTCATCTTGGTATTCTCCTATCCCAGTAAGTGTTACTATCCATTCTAAACAGAATAATCCAAAGGATTTTTTCTCACAAATCCTTTCATGTCTATTATTATACTACTTCACTAACTGCCTGCAAAAAATCACAGTAGGGTACACACTAATAGTTAAAAGAGCCAATGTCTACTAACATCAATTGAAACTAACTAATATTGGCAAGCATTAGGCCTTTTAACAATTAATGTACTCTATCATACTTTCTGCAGTCACTCTAATTTCAAAGATTTGGACATAGACCATTTTTGTTTCAATGTACAGTAAATTCAGTTCATGCATTTCTAAAATATAAGTAATTTTTATGAAATTTTCAAAACAAAATTTACTTGTAGTTCATGTAATTGCTCATCATCATTATATAAAATTACATAGCACCATAAAGATTATGAAATCATTGGTTAGATAAAATAAATTATGAAAAGATCTATTATGTTAAGTCGAGATTAAGTTGCTTGAAATTTTTGAAAAGAATATATATACTTACATATTTTTGATTTAATTGACTACTTGTGTCTTCACTTTTGCTATTGTCGAGAGGAGTATTAAGAACTGGACTATCCTGATGTTTGCACATGCTCATTGTTCTCTTCTGAGAATTTTCTTCTATGCTCTTTTTCATCATTACTTCAAACTCCTATATAGTAAAAAGTAATGAAATGAGTGTGGTACTTTTAAGAAATTTAAATAAACTAGAGGTCTAAAGATTTATTATAATCTAGGCATGGAACTAATATGAACTAAATCATACAATAAAAATCTATTTTGAGGAGTTGGCCGGGGGTGTGGTCAATGTATAATATAATAGTATTTTATTGGATTTGCAGACATTTTGATCTTCATTGTAGGTCTTTATCAGGGCTACAAAAGATACAAACTATAAATATAAATTGGTACAAGATAAAAAAAAAATGAATCATCAATAGATATAAGTACCAAATAAAGAACCTATAAGATAACATCACTTATATTATCACCATATTATCTTATAAGTTCTTTATCTGGTAACATGTACTTGTTTAATATCTACTGATAATTATTATTTTTTTTACCTTGTACCAATTAATGTTTATAATTTGTATCTTTTGTAGCCCTCATAAAAACCAACAACATAGGTTGAAAAATTGGCAAACCCAAGAAAATACAATTATAATATATAATGTAAATGCAACTCTGACCAACTTCTTCTCAAATTATTATCACGGTCAACCATCTCCACACCATAAAAATATATTGTTAAACCTCTTCTTCCTGTTACAACTTAATTTTAGCTTCCTTCTTTGAATTTTATTCAATAACTAGTATTAATAAACAGAAAACAGATGTAATACCTGTTAAAAATATAGCAATATTCTACAGATTTTGTTTATTCATTTAGTTTATTTGGGTGATATTCAGATTTAAAATAAATATATAAATTACCTCCATTTGAAATCCGTAAACTCCTGATTACTTCCTTAATATTTTCTCACTTCGACTATTGCTGTACAGTATATGGGAGCGTCTCCAGGGATCTCGAGGCAAAACTAAAATGTTTGATTAATTGCCTTGTACGATTCATCTTTGGGATCCAAATGGACGCCTCTGTTTCCTGTTATTATGAAGAGCTGACAGCTATGGCTTTATCCTTCCTAGTGATGTAAGTATTTCCTAGCATCCTACCTCTTCCTAGTCATCCAATCCCGCTGTCCATCATACATCTCCGAGTTCCTTCAATTCGAATTCTCTGTCCATTCCCGCAAAACCCATTCCCAGCCTTCAGATTTGTATACAAGATCCCACTGAACCGCTGTTTTGACAGATCTTTCATTATTCGATCCACGGCCCTATGGGATTTTATCCCATCCTACATCCGTCGCTCCAATACCCTCCCCACCTATAAATCCCGCCTGTTCAATCACCTCTTATCCTTTCAGTTCTCATAAAGTTCGAAAATTGTAAATAGATGTTGTAAATATGTATATAAATAAGTAGTTTGTTTTAAATGCTTTTATTTCATTTTGTTTTCTCTTAATTGAAGATTGAAGGTAAATAATATTCTTTTCTTTTCTTTATTCATTACATAAATCTGTTTATTTTGTAATAATTCTCTGAGGCTCCAAAGCCCACATTTTTATATCTGTACATTATTCTAAAGGTACTTGTCTGGCCAGAGACAGCAACCAGTCAACATATCTCTGTGTTATTAAGTATTCTATTTTGTTAAAATTGCTTTGATTTCTGCCGTTTTTTTTTCTTTTTAATATTTTTTATTAAAAGAAATTATAGACATTTCATATTTCCTCTCTACTCATCGAAAAGTAAAAGTATCGAAGTTTTTATACTATTGCGAGCTACGGGACAGTGGTAAACAACTGAGCTCTAGAGGATTAAGCGCAGCTGTTGCTATTACGCATCATAACAACCCGGCTTGTTATTGTAAGTACGATCTATTTACTAAATAACAATATGGCACAATGCCCGCTATGCAGCAGCACCATCAGCCGAGAAGAGAAAAATATTTTATGTTGTGTTAAATGCAAACTTTTATTTCACAGCAGGTGCGGTAAACTCACTGATAAAGAGTTTGAAGCTCAAAAATCCTCAAAAAAAGGATGGATATGCGCTAGTTGCGATCAGCCTAAAAAGATTCCACCAGGTGGTGAAAACCCAGATCAAAGTCACAATACTGAGCCTACACCATCAGAAATTCTGGCAGCAGTAAAGCGGCTAGATATTTTTTTCAACCAGGAATTAAAAAATATTAAAGTAGCGCTAGACAAGTACGGAGATCTGAGCTTCGAAGTAAACACTAGGCTATCTAAAATTGAAAACCACTTAGAGGGACAATCTAAAAAGCTTGAAGAAATAATTTCAGAAAATAAAGCCCTCAAATCTAAAGTCGGTGAACTGGAGGTCAGGCTGAATAAAGCCGAACAGGGCTTGCTTAGTAGATCGCTCGAGATACGGGGCATCCCGGTTCGAGCAGGTGAGACTCCCGCAGCCCTGGTTACAAGTATTGGGGCCGGTCTGGGAATTAAAATCAATGTCGAAGATATAGATACTGTGCTGCGCCGAAGAGCAAGAAAAGATGACCCTCGACCACCGCCTATAATCGCGAAATTCGTCAGGCAGTCAGTGAGAGACGACCTGGTGCAGAAGCGAAAAGTAAAAAGGGACTTCTCGACGCGGGAAATCGGTTGGCAGGAAAATGACTGCCACCGTATTTATCTCAGCGAGGAAATGACCCCGACGAACAGGTACCTCTACTGGCTCGCTCGGCAGAAGAAATCAGCAGGGAAAATAAAATATATATGGTTCTCCGGCGGCAGACTGCGGTGTCGAAAGGATGACGGTCATCAGGTTGTCTTTATCGACCAGAGTCAAGACCTAGACGTCTTCGGCTGACTCTTCGATCCCTGTTTACTCCTCAACATCGATAAACAATTTGGCTTAGTTCACAGGACTTACACTGAAAATCTGAAATGTATGTTATGTTACTACCGGAAATTTTTGATTAATTTATTTCTATTGATTATTGCATTCAAAATTTTTTTTCTTTTTAATGGTTTTTTTTCTTATATTTTTATTTTTACATTATTTCATCTAATGTATCATATCCGATCCAGCGTCTGCTCACCAAATTCTGACTTTATTTTCCTCAAGCCTAATCATGTCTAGCATCCTTAATACCTGTCACGTCAACTCCCAATCCCTCCCTGCCCACTATGATGAATTCCTTGAATACTTTACCCATAATTGTTACCATATCATTGCAATTTCCGAAACCTGGCTCAAGCCTTACATCCCTTCCTCATCTGTTTCCCTTCCTAACTACACACTAATCCGCCACGACCGGACGAGCCGGACTGGCGGAGGTGTAGCGTTGTATGTTCACGAATGCATGAAGACCCGAATACTCCACTGCTCTCCACCATCCGATCACCCACATGTAGAGTTCCTAATCGCTGAAATTTCCTTTGATACATCTCCTATCCTTTATGTCGTAGTGTATAGACCTCCTCTTGTTCCCTTTGATCCATCATTTGAATCATCCCTCTTCAACTTTGTTCCTCTTTATACCAAAATAATCATCTCCGGAGACCTAAACACTAATTTCCTTTCCGATTCCAGCGATAAATCATACCTCGAAAACCTTTTTTTCTCTCTTCATCTTTTCATTGTTCCTTTTTCGCCCACTCATCACACCCCCAGGTCCGATACCTGGTTGGACCATTACATTATCGACTCCGCTCAGAACCTCCTTTCCTCCTCACAAGTACCGGTCTCCTTTTTATCCTCTCATGACCTAATTCAAATTTCATATAATATCCATACTCCTCCGATCCTACCTAGAACCATAACTTTCCGTAATATTGATGTCCTCACTCGTGAAAAAATCTTACCCTACCTGGAAACCCTTGATTGGAATGGAATATATTCCTGTTCATGTATTGACGCTATGGTTGATATTTTAACTTCCAACCTCCGTAATATCCTTGATTCCCATGCTCCCATCAAAACCTCTACCTTTCGTCGCCCCCCTGCTCCCTGGATGTGTCAGCAAATTAAAGATCTTCAGAAGAGACGCGATGCAGCCCGCAGACGCTTTAGACGCACTAGACTCGCTGACGACTACCAAGCGTTTAGGGTGCTCCGTAACCTGACACAAACCAATATCCGAAGAGCCAAATCCTCCTATTTCCACGAAGCCCTTTCAGCAGCTCCTGATTCCAAAACCAAATGGCAACTCCTTCGTAAACTCTCCCTCTGTGACTCTTCCAGATCACCTTCCTCAGCAGCCTTTCCAGTCAAACCTGATGATTTAAATTCATATTTTATATCAGCTTCCTCCTGCATTCCTCCATCAACCTTTTCCTTCTTTACTCCTGGAATATCATTTAACGACGACAACTTTTATTTTTCAGATATTTCTCCTACAGACCTCATATCCGCCGTCATGAAATCTCATTCCAATTCCATTGGTCCAGATGGTATTCCCGTCAAATTAATCAAATTATGCCTACCTGAAATCCTTCCCGCTCTACTTTTCATCTACAATTTCTCCCTTCAGAACGCAATATTCCCTTCCTCATGGAAAAAAGCCATTGTCCGTCCTTTACTTAAAAATCCTAACCCTTCTTCCCCTGAAGATTACCGTCCAATTTCAATTCTGTCTAACCTTGCAAAACCTCTAGAACGAATAGTCCAATCCCAAATTTCCAACTTCCTAGAACAATCCAATCAACTTGACCCTTACCAGTCTGGTTTTCGACCAGGCTACTCCACACAATCCGCCCTAATCAAAATCGTTAGTGATGTTCAGTCAGCCATAGATGATAAAAAACTAACGGTCCTTATCCTCCTGGACTTTTCCAAAGCCTTTGATACCATTAACCATTCCATCCTTTTCTCCAAATTGAAATCGTTATCCTTTTCCAACAGCTCTATCCTTTGGTTTCAATCATTCCTCTCTCAACGTACCCAAGCAGTCTCTATCCCGAACCAACCTTTATCATCCTATCTAACTCTGTCCTCAGGAGTGGCACAGGGCTCCAGCATATCTCCTCTCCTTTTTAGTTCATATATTAACGACCTTCATAAATCAATCCTTCACTGTTCACATCACCTTTATGCCGATGATTCCCAAATTTACCTCTCCTTCGCTCCCTCTGAATGGCATGATGCGTTTGCCAAAATACAAGAAGACCTAAATCGGATTTGTGCCTGGGCAAATGAAAATGGATTAAGGTTAAACGTTGCTAAAACCCAAGCCATTGTCCTCGGTTCCAAACCCCTTCTCAGATCAAATACCAACATTCCTCTCCTGTACCTGAATGACCAACCCATCACCTTCAACACTTCAGTTAAAAACTTAGGTGTTATCATAGATCAAACCCTCTCCTGGAATCACCATATTTCCCTCATATCCCGACGTTCAATTTCCATCCTGAAACTCTTCCATCGCTTCCGCCATCTCCTACCCATATCCACACGTAGACTCCTAGTATCCGCCCTCATCTTCCCCCACATTGACTACGGCTGTGTAGTGTACGGTGGCCTCTCATCGGAACTTGGAGTCAGACTGAAAAGAATAATGAATGGCTTAGTACGATTTGTCAATGGGACCCCGAGACGTTCTCATGTTTCCCACTACTACGCCGAGTCAGGGTGGCTCTTCCCCTCCTTCAGAAGACAGTACTTCCTAGGTACATTCCTTTACCAAATAATCTATAATCATCGTCCTTCCTACGCATTCAATCTCCTTCAATTCAAGTCATCTATCCACTCCCTCTCCACAAGATCTCGTCCTTCCGACCTTTATACCCCTTTCCACAAATCGGCCTCATTTCAACACTCCTTTATTGTCCGATCCACCACATTTTGGAATTCCATCCCACTTAAAATCCGCCATGCACCATCCTTATCCACATTTAAAACCCTCCTTTTCCAATTCCTCCTTACAATTCAATCAGACGCTGGGTAGCCTATATTGTATTATTATACTATTGTTGCATTGTATGTATGTATATGTGTATGTATGTATATGTATATATATATTAATATATGTATATTGTATATATACTATTGTACTATTATTGTATTCTCACTATTATTGTATTATTGGGTGTATATATTGTGTATGTACGATTACACTATTATTGTATTTCGATTATACTATTATGTTCTACGAACATACTACTATTACTATAACATCTTTATTATTATCTGTCGCTCATTTATAATTTCATAGCGTATTGTGTATAGCAACTATTTTGCAGTATTAGGACATTATTTCTCATATTATGGCTTCCGATATCTGTACAGTTATGTAAACACTTCTTTTATCCCTTATTTTTTAGTTGTTTTTTTTGTTTGTTTGTTTGTTTTTGTTTATTGTAATATACATTTTGGCCAGATGTAATGTTTAATTTTATGTACAATATTGTTATTCTCAAGGGACGTAGTCCCAGAATAAAGTTGATTCTTCTATCTTCTATCTTCTACTTGTCCCAGAATAAATAAAGCATTATTATTATTACATGTTGGTATATACAGCTCCTTCCTGAGCATTGATGATTGAAAAAAGAAAGATTTACAACAGTTTTATTTAATCGAAATAGTCTCCACTACTATTACATTACTAATATTATTATTAATACATTTCTGCTAACATGTTGAAAACTTTTCCATTCCTTCGAAATAGAATTTTCCATCTTTATAATCATCGTTATATGTTCAATAACCTGTATTATATGATTCAGGAAATTAAATTTTTACATTTTAAAGGAGTGAGAAAAAGAGGAAGAGGTTTGGTCAGAGAGGATATCATAGTTCAAAACCAGAGTACTGAAATTTAAATACAAAATTTACTTACAAAAAGAGTAAATGGAAGGTAAATTACAGGTGTTTCCTCGGATTCCATGGACCACGGCCTAACAAATCCACCAATCTACCTTTATCAGTGTCATATTCATCGTTCTGGACTTCCAGAAATGGAATGTAAATATTTACTTGTTGAATATGACAAGGTAAAACCTCATCAAGGAACCTTAATATAAATGCAACACACATGTTGGTATTGGTACTGCCCCTGATGGGAGGAACTAGTCCAAAAAACGGGCCACATCGTCCTTTTTGCCAACACATGATGGCTACCTTGAGGTTGCCGCATACACACCAGAGTAAAAATGTCAAAATCCATTTCCAGGCCGCCGAAAAATGAAAATTAACCGACCCAGGTGGGAGTTGAGCCCATAAAGTTCAGAACCAGACACTCTGAGACCCACCCATCAACATGCTCGGCCATCGCATCCTCACATATATAGATAGGTAAGTGAAAGTAAAAAATGAGATTCAAAATTCAATCATTCCATTGAAATGTATAGATATTAAAATTTAACTCAAGCAATGTTGAGTATACCACATATACATTTGTTAATATTTTAAAGTATTTACATGCAAATCACTTGAAACATCAATCTTCTTGATTTCATTGAAGGACTCAGTGAAAAGTTGAATAGCATTACTATGTTGTGCCAGTTCTATTGTAATAAATTTCAACAATAATGACTTGATGTCCTCAATTTTTTTCTGTTCAAACTGATGAATATGTTCCTCAAGCTCCTTCAATGATCTTGATATGCTACTCATTACAGTTGAGAGTGAAGCTTCAGCTCTTATCTTTAGATTTAGTCAATCAGAAAACCAAAATTTATTTCAAATAAATATTAATTATAGTTATATATATAATTGAAGATTATAGTATAGTATATAACTGATGCTTAATTTGTATTGTATGATTATGGCATTCCCTGTTTATGGATATATATATATATATATATATCCATTGTTGTTATATATATGGATATATATATATATTATATATATATATATATATATAATATATATATATATATATATATATATATATATTTATATATATAAAATATATATATATATAATATAATAAGAACTGTTTGATATAGTCGATAAGAACATTTATTACATTAAAAACACAGAAGTTACTAGTCCACTAAATTCTTCAGTTTATTGTATGCAAACAATGTTTAAAATCCTTACAATTATTAAAGTTGTATAAATTCTGGAAATTTATGAAATCTTGCTTGGAAAAAATAAATTAAATACTATATTTTGTTTCATAGACACTAGAAATTTGAAATAAAAGGATACAATGTCTTCCCTTTTGTAAGGATTCCTATTCCTTAGCTTCTGGAGTTGTTTATGCTTGTTCATCTCCTTTTCTTTCAAACTCATAATAGTTCTGACTTCTGCTTTGGCATTATGACAGAATGTTTCATAATGACATAGATCCTTCAGTATTTGTGAATCCAACTGCTTTACTTCAATGTCCCTTGCATGAGAAAAAATAATTTAAATTTATAATAATTAATGTAAAATTACAGTAACAAATTAGAATTGGTTTAATTCCACAATTTAGTCATTAGCTGAATATTATTTTAAAAACTAAACCATCAAAAGAGAAGTAAGCATGTTATTATGCTCAACATATAAATAATACTCTGTATTTTAAATTATTTATTGCTTTGTGATCGTTTTTTCCAGCAAGTTTCAGAACATTAGAAAGAGGTTGAAACTTAGATATAACTAAAACTTAAAAGTGACTGTTCTCGCCAGAGACTGACCCTTTTACAAAATTGTTGAGTTTGCCCATGAATCACAAATCTAATGAGAAGAACATTTGCTGTGTTATGTGTCTAATGTTAAATTGGCTCATATTGTCATAACCACATCATTATATCTTCAATTCTAATTATCCTTCTCAGCTGATGGTTCTTCTGGGAGATGAATGAATTTGTCTCCTTCAACTAGCCCTCCCCAAGGAGGAAATAAATGAGATCCAGGATATTATTAAAATAATAATAACAATGATTTCTCTTATCTTAGTCCTTGCTGTGGTGATTCAAGAAAATTGTTCATTTATAACCCATCAGAGAGCTTAGTTATTTATCTTCTCATAGAGATTTCTCAATAGTTGAACGAAAACTTAGGAATATGCCTAACTATTGATTTAGGAATTCCCACTTATAGCCCACACATGAAACCTCATTCATATATTGTAAAACATTATAATTTTATACTAATATTAGCCAATGAATGAATATATGAAAAAATTCCCACCTATAAAGCTGCTCCCCTCAGCAAATCTTTCATCATTTGTATGACCTCTTTTTTTTTTAATTTTTAACCTACTCGTATCTCTATTCATCAATTCACTACTAGATAACTGACATCATTTTTGTAAACATTAATTTATAAAAATATATCTTAAATTTGAACAGTGAAATTACTCTTAGGAAACTTTTGTTTTATAACCTATAAAAAACATCTGAAATATTGTTTCTTTCTTGTCTTCACTGTTTACATTTTTATTTTTAAGAAATAATTTTTTTTCCACTGAGGATGTTTATTTTTTTTTTTTTAAACTTCAATTCCTCAATTTTATAACATTCTACAGTAAAGAATTATGAAAATTCTATTAAAAATATTGGTTCATGTTAAAATGGCAGATATCCTAATATGAAATCCTTTAGATAACACAAATAAAATATTTGTTAATTAATATATATTAATCTATTTAGTTTTCAAATAAAAAGTTAAACAGATTTAAAAAAAAAAATTTTTTTTATAAATTTCTCAAAAGTTGGATCTAGTGGAGAACTGTTCTTTAAACATTCATTGATTCAAATGTTTATAGAATAAAAAAAGGAAAGCAACCATATATTAAAAACTATTTGAAGTTCCTTTCTTGACTGTCATCCAGACCATCTCTACCATATTTATTAAACTAATATAAATGGTTCAAACAACAAACCAAAGAGCCCAGTACTTTTATGTGAAAAACCTATCTCTACAATTAACAGTTAAAGCTCCATATTATGTCACAAACAAGACCCTGCATCATCACCATAACATCCCACATGTCCTTGACATCATCTCATCTCGATGTATAAAATTTCACCAGAACCTTATTCACCATCCCAATCCTCTATCTCAATTCCTATCTAGCTCCAACCATCCCTGTAATCCTCCCCGGAGATTGAAACGGCATTGGCTCCTGCCCCTGAGACCTTTTGTAAATATGTTAATGGAGTCCTGGCATTGGCCAGCTTCTCCAATCAATGTCTGGATGTTTGTGGCTCAAGTGCCCTCTCAGTCTCCAATGGCCTCCAGTCCAGTGACGCGGTTGGAAGAGAAGCGCTGGGATCTACTGGAGCCAAGCTTTGCCTTTCACACGTGGAAGACCAAGCCTTGGAGTCTCTTGGGCAAATGTAAATATTGTATATAGCTGTGAATGAGCTTTGGACAAATTTTATTTAGTTATTAAATCTTTTGTTTTTTATTTGTTTACTATTATTATTTTTTCTTTAATTATCTTCATTTATTTTTCTTGTATGTATATATTGAATGGGTGGATACTTTTAGTTCTAATGCTTATTGCCCTTGAGTGTGGCAGATTGTGTTAATATTCAATAAATAAATAAAAAATCTGGTGTGGTGCGCGCATCACACAACTTTCACTTAACACCCTCTTCTTAGCAGAAATAACTATTTTCAGACAAAGGAGACGTGAAAGTAAAAATTATAAACGCTATAATTATTTATATTTCATTGTGGGTATTTTCATTTGTATAAGTACCCTTATATGTATACAAATTTTAATATTTATATCGCTTTAATCTATACAATTAGATAGATAAATAACCAACAATAGCATTTATGAAAACTACTTATTTATATTTATATAATATTGTCGGAGTTCATATTATATTAAGCTCATGTTACGTATGGAAGCCTGTTATAATCTTTCGGGCGAGCTGGGGTGCTATCGATTACAACTATTCTCCGTTACGATTTTTTATTTCTCCTTGGATTAATTATCAAATTATTTCATATTTTATATTTAACTATCTTTTATATTAGATATTAATGTGAAATAGTCAATTGTTTCAAATAAAACAAATTAAAGGTACTTAAGAGGAAGTTGATATTGAAAATTAGCCATTTAAGCCCTGTTAGAGAACGTCAATCAGAATAAAAACTACATTTTATTTAAAACTGCCTAATTTTACACTGATATAATGAATTTAATCAAAATCGTTAGAGCCGTTTCCGAGAAAATAGCAAAAAGAAACAATTAACAAAAATATTTTTTCTTTATTAAAAAATAAAAAATTGAATATGTTATGTATATTTATACATCTATAAATTACCAAAATTTAAAAACAATCTGGTGCGGTGTATCACACAAATTTCATTCAACACCCTAGCTTCTCTAGAAATTACTTTTTTAAAAGCTAATACACCTTAAAATACTAATTTAGTTATAAATACAAACTTATGATAATTAATATAAAGTATGACAATTCTGTGTACTATATATTTACGTTTGGTCAAGATGAAAAATAATTTTTAAACAGGATAAGAACTAGCTTATCTTAAAGGCCATTTAATGTTACATTGATTTAAAAAGATTGGTCAAAATTGTTTTTGGTCAAAAGAGCCATTTTGTAAAAGGTGTAAAATCAACGATATAAAGTGGCACACTCATTAAGTCCATTTTAGCAAAACAGTTGATAAAACATGCCACACCTACCTTAAATATATAATTTTAGTAATATACTTGTTTTCTTTTTACTTTCACTTACCTGTATATGTAATACGTAGTAAGTGTAAATATTGCGATCGTGAAAATTTTTTAATCTATGTTTTCAACAGAAATAAACGTTTTGAGGTCTCCTGAGTCCAAATAACCAAGTCCCGGAGAATGGTGGGTATGTGAACACTCTAGTTCGAAAACCGAAAAGTCATACCAAACTGATATTACATATTTAAGATAGATATATGCCTTAGATGTCCTGGCAACTTTTTCCTTAAAATCTGCTAACCGGAAGTGCCACTTTATATCAACGCTGAAACACATTTTTACAATTTTCTCAAAAACGGCTCAAACGATTTTGATTAAACTCAGTTTATCATTGTATAATTAAGTGGTCTTTAATATCATTTAGGTCTTACCGCTGTTCATGTCACTTCACAGGGTTTAAATGCCAATGTTCATGTGCGTCTTCCTCTAAGGTACCTATCTCTCATTATTAAAAGTTACGAAAAAATGCTAAATAAAACTTTTGAAAGAATTTGATAACTGAATAAAGGAAAAAAAAAAATAAAAATGCTTAATAATATATCGTTGAAAAGCAGAGAATTTTAGAAACAACAATATCTAATATAGAAAGTTGTAGAAGGTAATGGAGAGCGGTAAACAAATTATAAATACTAATTTTTGAAAACTGATTTAAAATTTGATAAATTTTCCCTTTGCGATATTCCAACAGAATGCACTTACAATTAGTGAGACAACTTTTGACCTGTCTATAACAGACAATACAAACCTCTTAATTCCGTTTTAATAAACTTTGTAATGCAAAATAAGTGTTTAATAACTAATAGTCGTACAATCCATAATCAATGAATCGAACAATCCATATTCAACAAATCGTACAATCCATAATCAACCGGTGATATAGTAAGACTTTTGTTATTTTAATAGTATTTATGATTTAGTAGCTGCAATCTTTTAGCTTTAGCTCAGTTAAAAATGCAATTAAAAAAATTTATAATAGCTCAGCATGGCCCGAAAATAATTTCTACTCAAAGTTGAGCAAAGTTCAAAGAGTAAGTAAAAGTTGTGGGTTGCGCGCACCAGATGTTTTTAGCCATGCAGTTAACACATTTTGTGAGTCTTGGTTATTGGGACTATGTATTTTTGTTGAAAACTCTAATTCGAAATTTTTCACAATTAGGTTGCTTTCCTTTATTATATATAAAGCTTCTATGCTTTCTAGATTCAATATTCGTTATTTATTTTCGCATACCTATATCGTATATATATATATATATATATATATATATATATATATATATATATATATATATATATATATATATATATATATGCGATATAGGTATGCGAAAATATATATTTTTATATATATATATATATATATATATATATATATATATATATATATATATATAGAGAGAGAGAGAGAGAGAGAGGTATGCGAATGTAAATAAAGAATATTGAACCTAGAAAGCAAACCTATAGAATAAAGCCTAAAGAAGAACATCACCCTTTAATGGTTTTGCTACTCAGACTCAAAAAGACAACAGAAGTTACTTGGACTAAAATTTAAAAAAATCTATTATAATAATACAAATCAAGTAAATAGTGGTTTACTTGAATAATTTGATAAATTTGTGATATTTCAACAGAATGCTATAAAATCGTGGGTTTATAGCAAAAAGTCACTAAGTGATTTTATGATATTGGTTAACATTCTAATATGTTTTTGTGAATATCTACTTTATTTATTGATACAAAAACACTGTAAGTGCATAAGAATGACACAAACCCTTTTATATATCAAATATAGTTACAACAAGTACTTTTCTTCAATATCCATCCATTTCTTTCTGACAATCAGAAATCTCAGAGTAATCTTTAATCAAAACCTCTTCTCCCTAAACAATTCCATGATTCTATTCCTTAAAAAAACCAGACAGCTCCTTGTAACATCCCCAATTCGACTACGGTTGCTTGGTGTATGGAGGGCTGTACACAAGGCTAGAGGCGAGACCGGAGAGACTCATGAATTGAATGAATGAAAATAAGTTTATTATTCTGGGGCTAGTGTCCCTTTAGAAAAAATTATAAATACAGAATATAAATAAACATGTTAGTGTGTCCATAAAGTAAAATTAAATATTTACAAAATAATTTGTAATTTAAAGTAAAAATACAAGTAATTAAAAGACATAAAAAACATACATAAACATAGACTAAAATAAATGAACAAAATAGTATGTCTGGTTGACAGATGCTCCATCTATGAACCAAACTAACACTACCATAGAATTACTCCCAATTATAACTAATAATCATTGAAGGAGATAAGCATTGATTTTCTCTATATGTATTCTTACCTACTGTCACCCACTGACGCTAATAATTCTGAAAACTGAAGAATACGTCCTTTCAGGCTTTTATTAATTTTTTCTTCAGAAGCATATTCATGGAACAATACAGCTAGGTCATCAGTTGCATTCCGTAAGCTATAAATATAAAACTAGAAAACAACATTCATCCTGTGCATATTATAAGATATATTCATTAAATTACTAAAAACAGTACCTGAAATCATTTTTATAACTTCAAAACTATAAATATAATCTTCGATTTATTGACTTGAAAAATGGGATCATTAACTTGGTTTATTTATTTTTATCATTGACAAACTGGATTTTAGCTTCTGAGAAACTGAAGAAAGGGTAAATAACATAATAACCCAACTTCTTAATTACTTACCAGAAATTATCGTCAACTACAATTCCAGATTTTTCTGGATGGAATATAAATTTATTATGAGATTATTACTGTGGAGTTGAATTTGATTAATAAAGCTAAATAAAAAAAATAACTGTCTCCCATCATTAAACATAATTATAAATAATGAATGATGAGGATAGTTAGAAAGACCTAAACAAACAAATAGCAGACCACTTGAAAAAAAACTTGTAATATAGTCATAAATACAAACATAGAAAATAATAAACATATGATAATTTGTAAAAGGTAATTTTAAAATATTTTCAATAAAAACAGACAAAACATGAACTGAATTCTCCACTTGAACATTATATTTCTCAACATTGGAAATATTTGGTGAGTAACTTTCATGGAAATTACTATATGAAAAAAAAAAGTGGAGGAATTGCTCGCATTAATTAGAAACTATAAAATAAATAATCAATAATTTTAGTTAATATGTAAAATAATACAACCTTGACATTTTCTTGATGTAAACAGAAAATGCTGAACATATTTTAGCTAAACTATTTTCCATAGTTACCAATCTGCCATTTACAAACTTTGCAAGTTCTTCACTAAAAGAATAGTTGGTACAATTACAATCAGAATAAGATTTTTTTTATAATAAATAGTTACAATAGAAACGAAAGTAACCTACTAAGGTATATTTTCTAATTTAGAAGCTCTCATTATATTCATTTTTCTATCTCTGAAATCAGTTGACAGGTCCATGTTTTCAAAATTTAAATGTTTCTATGAGCGGGCTATATTACAAAGAGATCCCAGTCACTAATTTAGTAAACTTTAGATACATCTAAGTGAAGTCTTATTTTAAACGAGAACAATACAGAAAGAGTTTATCCTAGCAACCACTAACTAAAATAACAGATCCCACACTGTAAACACAAGATATACACTACGTCAATATTCCATTGAAGTAACAAGTTCCTTAATTCATATATATTGTTTTTAAAACACCTCATTTTATTTATATTTACTGGAATGATGATAAATATTTTGGAACACGTCATCATCATAAAACAGTGTTTTTAAAAAATATTTTAATAGAGTTCGATTGTGTTTATTTAATTATTTTATAATCATCACTTCACATCTACCCAAGTAGATCATTAGCAATCTTCGCTTATTGTTCGAATTTTATCTTATCCGTTGGTTTAAGAATGGTTTATTAGTATTTAAAAATTTCCTATCTTAAATAAACTATTGTAAAGTTTGTGACAGTACTAAGGGTAAAATAGTGACATGATTGTTTGTACATGACAATGCTCTAATTTGGTGGTATTTGTGATCACTAGCGGATCTAGGATTTGATCTTGGGGGACTTCAACCCAAACACTTTTTTTAAATATTATTATTAATATTATTATTTAGGAAAATGAATAAAGAACCTAACTACCTATATGAAATGGTGGTTAAATGATTATTATAAACGTGCTACGCATTGGCGCCTAATGAAATCTGACAGTATGATCATAAAGAGAGCCCCCGACAACATAATAATGGACCCTAATAATGATCAAATTCGAAAATTTCTAATAACGTGATGCGCAATTGAGCATTATGAAATCCGATAGTATTGTCTTGAAAAGAGCCTCCGATAACAATAATATATTCTAATATCGATCAAATCCGAAGAGTTACAAAAACGTGATGCGCAATTGGGCATTCTGAAATCCGACAATATTGTCTTAAATAGAGCTTCCGATAACATAATAATGGATTCCTGTATCGATAAAAGACGAAAAGTTACAAAAACGTGATGTGCAATTGCGCATTCTGAAATCAAACAGTATTTTTATAAAAATACTTCCCGAAAACATAATAATGATTGCGCAAACCGAGAATTGATAGTATGTTAGTATAAGATGCCCCTATCACGTTCCCCTCTCAATGTAACAATAGAGACCCTTATTTAATGAACTGAAAACTTTATTTTAAAAAACTAGGTGCAATTTCATCACTATTAACAAGAATATATATATATATATATATATATATATATATATATATGTGTGTGTGTGTGTGTTTATGGAATGATTAATCGTTGAACACTAGCGGATCCAGGATTTATTTTTGGGGGGGCTTCAGCCCGAAACCTTTTTTTTCATAAAAATAACGATAATTACTTTGGAAAAACAGAAAGAAACTAAATACCTATATGAAATGGTGTTTAAGTTATTCCTTAAGTACTTTTAAATGTAATTACACGAACAATAATACTTAAAGAGGTATTTTTTTCCCATAAAACATGGTTATATTTTTCCATTTTGGGGGGGCTTCAGCCCGAAAGCCCTCCCCCCCGTAGATCCGCCCGTGTCGTTGAATAATGGTTATTCCGTGAATTTTTAACTTGGATAAATTTTTATTCGGCCGATATTTCAACTGAATAAATGTTGATTCATTGATCATTGAATAACAAATAAGGTAAGATTATTCTGGTTATTTTGAATCACTAAAGAATGACGAGTGCTTGTAATTGGCGCCTATGTGTCAACTTCGTATGCCATAGGTGAGACGTCTCGACGATTTCGGGGGTCATGAACTATACCACCAGATTAGGTAGTTGTATATTTATATTATGGTTGCATATTTAGTTATTTATTTTCCACCCTCCCATGCCACTAGGGCAACACGGGTGTATGCAGTAGTGTGATGTTAAGCATTCATCATCATCATATGTGGCACGACATCCCGTTACCGAGACTGGGCCTCCTCCAAGAGCTTCCGCCAGTTGGCTCTGTCTTCTGCTGCAGCTCTCCAGTTCCGTACACCAAGCAGGGTTCTCGCATCTTTTTCATGTTTTATATTTTATTCTAAGATTCCCATTGTAACACTTTTGTCACCCTTTTTGATTATGCCTACTTCATCATTCCACACTTTGTAACGGTTTTTATTATTTATCTCTTAGTTCTTAGTCATTATTCTAACAATTTCATTTTACTTTATATTCATCTATTTTATTTTTCTAATTTTTTTTATTTTATTTTTTTATTTTTTATTATCTTTTTTACCATCATTCCTTATGTTTCTCATACCTTGTTATCTGGTTATTTTCTTAGCCCTGATCAAGGTCTGAACTTCAGGTCGAAACGTCGGCATATGTAAAAATAAATATTATCATTATTATCATTTCCTTTTTGACTGACCACCCCAACTATTCTTCTCTTCATTAAATTTTTTTCTTTGTTGATAGTATAGAAATACGCGCCGATTGAGTAAAAAAACATTTATTTCGCTCATCGGGAACCATTTCAAATTTTAGGTAATTTTGGAATTTCTAAGGTAATTCTGAGGATTTGTTCCAAGAAAAATTGTTCGATTCCTTATAACTGTTTGAAAATGTTTCGAATCATTTTAATTTGAAAATATAACCATGTTTAAAGAGGAAAATTATCTCTAAAAATACTATTGTTCGTTTAATTACATTTAACAGGACTTAAAGAATCACTTAACCACCATTTCACATAGGTAGTTAGTTCCTTTCTTTCTTCCGGAATATTTATGCTAATATATACATACGAAAAAAAAAAATCTTTCGGGCTGAAGCCCCCCTTCTAAATTAAATCCTGGATCCGTTAGTGCCTTAGATGAATGAAACTTCCATGCCATATTAAAAATTGTCTACCTCATGTTTTTTTTTCGGAAAATGAAAAGTTAAAGAGTTAGACTAATTAATGAATGGAGATAAAGACGAGTGAAATCTTTTTTTTTTTAAGTGATTTATGAGGACAAATAATTCAGAAATTTTACAAGATAGCGAAAATATGAATATAATTAATTCTTTTGTAAATTTTGTAAATTTTATTAATTTTATATTATTATTTATTTATTATATTTATTATTATTATTTTTTTCTTTTCTTCCTCGTCTTTTCGTCTAAACTGTGTTTTTCCCGGTCTAGGGAGACGGCGGAGAATTATTGACATAGTTAAAAGTCTCCTGGATACCGAGATTTGAACTCGTAATCTTCTATTTATCGAGTTTTCGTGTATTACTGAGGCGTTATCCCGCTCGGTTACTTTATTCCCTCATTATTCAATCAATCATCAACATTACTTGTAATCAATATTGTATTTAATTTTTATTGTATTTATTTATTTTACATTATATTTGTAACTGCGTTTGAACGCATCTAGTAAAAGCGATGTCGTTCGTTTTGTCTGCTGTTTCTTGAAAATGTATTCATGTTGTGAGCAGATCCCGAGGCAACTGCGTTTTTAATCTTCTTTGAGCTCCCCTCGTAACAGGGAGGAAGAAAGAGAGAGAACAAGTCGATTAGTGTGGTTAATAGTTGAAGTGTGAAATGTGTTATATTTGTTATGTATGTAGGATTTTATTGTTGGAATGTTCATGGTCACGATTTTTCGAAGTATTTTGGACTGTGTAGTTTGTAATTCGTTTATGTGTACGTGTTTTGTGGAACTCCGAAGTTCTAGCCCGTATGTCCAAATAGATCATAGTATGGTGGTGTAGATTAGTCGCTTGTCCAAAAGATGTGACAGTTGTTTGTATCGTCTGGTCAGTTCTTGTCTTTTTAATTTGGTTTGTTCCAGGTGAGTTTTGTGTCCAAGTATAGTCCGAGATATCGATATGAGTTTTTGAGGTAACTTGTAGTCTATTGTCATAGCAGGGCACAAGCTCTTCCTCAGGGAGAAGCTAACATGATTTGGCTCGCCGCCATTAACTTCCCATTTTTTTAACCATTTTTCTGGGTCGTGGAGGTGATATTGAAGGGCAACTGAAGCAATAGTAGGATTTTTGTGGAATCAAATAATTTCAGTGTTGTCAGCTAAGCTATAGGGGTGGTACTAGGGTGCTCGGAGATGTTAGATCTGTAGAGAGAAAACAGAAGAGGACTTAAAAAACTACCTTGTGGTACGCCCGCAATTTAAGAGAAAAAGGAATATTGTAATTATTTCAAAATTACTTGTAGAAAATAGAAGATTTTTTTTTTTTAACCTCCCGCAAGAATACAAAGAAAAATATCTGGTGTGTCCACTCACACGACTTTCCTAACTATTTCAGAACAGTTTTTATATCTTTACATATGTTCATGAAAACGCTGCAAATGATTTCACAATGGTTTATTATCTCCAAACAATTATACATCTAAAGTAACATTACCTTCCGAGTAACACAGAAAAAAAAAAAAAGGTGATCCCAATAATTGGACTAAACTGATTTTCTTTAATCATTAGTAATATGCTAAAAAAAAAAAATAGCGTTATTTCAGTTACACATTTAAAATTTAACCAGACCAAGGATATAACATTTGGAGTAGAATACATTAAAAAAAACAAGAAACCATATCTTTGCTCCTAATTGTCCGATTTTTTTTTTTGTTTTTTAGGAAATTTCGTAAACTTTTAAAAAAACCATTAACATCTTTTCGTTAAAGTATGTTATGTAGATAAATTTAAAGGGCGTCGATAAAATGACTTTAGCGAAGTTTCATCGTAATCTGAACATTCGTTTAGGAGCTACAGTCTATAGCAACGTAGGTTTTTCGGCCGCCAATTTGAAAGTTAAAGGCGGAGAGTAATGTCGATGAAGGAGGATCATCCTCGGGTGACCTCTGATTTTATATAAAAATTTGAAAAAAAAATCGGTCCAGTAGTTTCGGAGAAAATGCGCGGACGGCGAACGGCGGACGGACAAAAAAAATTTTATTCGTTTTTCGAATTCTACGCATCTTGAAACGTGAAACCTCAAATTTTGAGAGGGGGTTATGTTTTTGAATTTTTTGGTCGATTACAATGTTTCATTATTGAAAATAATAAACCAAAAACAAACAAAAAAAAACGAACTAGATTTACTTTCCTGAAAATTGATCAAAGAAAAGATTTAGTT